ATTCTAAAACTAAATGTTACATAAATTTCATTATGAAGTCTTTACAGGTAGTTGACAATATATTATTATACACAGTTTCTGGTGCAAAATTTAAGTTTTAAAACTTCATAAACAAATGTATGCAAAGCTTATCATAAGCTCAAACAAAGGATGCGAGAAAGATGGTAGAGAGATTTGATTGCATTTTGTTCAAACTATATAGTTTTTTATGGTTCTATATATAATGAGAATTGATTCGTACACAACACTTTTTCTCCGTACACAACAATTTGTGCTTTAAAGTGTTGTATTGTACAACTCTATAATGCATCAATTGTTGTGTATAGCAAAAAATCGTTGTGTATGAATCACTTCCCATATATAATATTGGGTATATAATAGTCACGTATTCTCTTAACCCATATATAATAATAATAATAATAATAATAATAATAATAATAATAATATCACATTGAGTATTTAAATAACAAAGAGATAAGACTTTTTTTCAATAGATTTTCTTTCATTCAAAAAACACATGGATTTTTTTCAATAAAAAGCATTCATATATATGTGTGACAGAAACTAAAAAAAAAAAAAAAAAAAAAAAGTGAGAGAAATTAAATATCCTTATATATTTTGTTCATATGTATCTTCCTATATTTTGTTCATATTCATCCTCATACACATGTTAATCGGTGACAAGTATATTAAAATATTATTAATTTCATTAAATATTACACATGTTAACATTTAATATGAATATGATGGTAACAAAATATAAGAGTATATTTAATGGGTAATTTGTTTTATGTACTCCTTGTGAGTGGAATAATGTGTGTAATGTGATAATTTATATGAAGGAATGGTAAGTATAGTAGTAAGAAAATTGTGTGTGTGGTTGAGAGAGAGAGAGAGAGAGAGAGAGAGAGAGAGAGAGAGAGAGAGAGAGAGAGAGAGAGAGAGAGAGAGAGAGAGAGAGAGAGAGAGAGAGAGAGAGAGAGAGAGAGAGAGAGAGAGACTAAATCCCACATTAAAATTTAAAGGTGCACATCATTAGATTTAAAATCAATCTGTTTGTTTCAAATGTATAAAATTATTAAGTAGCTTTCAGGCAAAATTGTGTCTTTTGTGTTGAATCCTACGAGTCGGATAGAATTTTAGTTATAGGTTGTAAACCGTCAGACTTTTTTAATTTTAGTTGGGCAACAAAGACAACATTAATTGATGTATTATAATAGAAAACATATTATTTTGTAGTATAAAACTAGTGGATGTATACTACAAGTGGACCTGTTTTAATCATTTTTTGATGGCCCATAAAAAAAATTTGGGTAAATGCTTATACATTTTGGGTTTGATTTAGGCTGGATTATAATTTATAAGAAAGATGTAACCAAACCAGGTAAAAACTAAAAACTGGAGTGTAGATTAGTTTAGATTGCTTCACTTTTTTTTTTTTTTTTTTTTTTTTTTTTTTTTTTTTTTTCAGAACAGCTGAACGCTTCGCTTTTCTTAAGTCGGTAATTTTGATTTTTCAATTTCAGCTAGTGTTCTGTTTTATTTTGATTTGTTTCCAAGTTCCAACCAGATATACATTCCTAGAATTAACCTTTTGACATATTGGGAATAACATATAACTAAGTTAGTTCAATCTTTCTATAAGCAAGTCAAAGAACACCATGAGGCCAGTTTTGTTACGATTAAAGATACACATATTTTTTGAAATCTATATTGCATGCTGAGTAATAACGTTTATACGGCAACAAAATAAATGTAATAATTATTACGATGATATATACATATATTTGTCGAAAATCATAAACCTGAGAAATTATCAAAGAATAATCTTATGTCTTTAAATAAATAACCAACAAAACATCATGTTTTACGTAACATACACGAAAACATTACATGAAAGGCTGCTTTCTTGAGGTTTTGATACATAAAAAGAGTGTATTTACATCATCACTTTTCATGTGCAACCATCTTTATTTCCTTGAGTGCAAACTCGACATGGAAATGATAATTGATCGAAAATCATGCCAACTTTTTACGTAAACATCACAAACCACAACTATCAACGAACTATTAAATTATAATAAATAACAAGAAACAACGATTTATATATATACAACTTGTTGAGGAATTCTTCAACTTTTCAATATATAACATATTGGATTTGATCTAACTTCTAAAAATTTATTAACACACCCAAATCCCAAAAACACTAGAAAACTTCTCTTCATAACATCATCTTCTCCATATAAATTGATATTTCATGATCATGGCAAAGATGATCATGCATAACGACACCATGGATAGCAATGACATGGTGATGATGCACATGAGTTTCTTCTGGAGCAAAGACGTTGTGATGTTAATCAATGGGTGGCCGAATGGGAAATTAGGTATGTACATACTGGCTTTAGCTTGTGTTCTTGTACTCACCATTGTTGTCGAGTTTCTGTCAGTTTTTCCAGTCGTCAAGCTGCAGGGAAGTAGTCCGTTCATTGGTGGATTGGTTCATGCTACGTTTTATGGACTACGAATGGCTCTTGTTTATCTAATTATGTTGTGTGTGATGTCGTACAATGTTGGCGTTTTTGTTTTTGTGGTGGCTGGACATGTTATCGGGTGTTTTTTAGTCAAATATCGGATGATTTCGAGGGCGGCTTCTAAATCTAGAATGGAATTGGATCCTGTGTAATGGTTATATATGGTGTTTGAATTTTTGTGCATTTGATCAAAATTTTCACTTCGAATTGCCAAGAAATGTACAATTTTTAATGCAAAACATACAAGTTACTATAGCACTATTGGCCAAACTCCAAGGTAATCTGCCCGAAATAACAACAAATGTGTTTAATAAAGAAAAACGAACATGTCAACGCCGTATGGACACTACATAGATGCAGTAGCATTTAACTACGCTGAGATTAATGATCTAATTAAAAAAAGTTTAGTGACTTACTGAATGCAATTAAACGATAGTAACTTAAAATGCAAAACAGTAGTAGTTGATTGGTATAGTGACATTAATTCTAGATTTTTTTTAACAATTTATACAACAATATTCCAATTTATTTTACGAATTTATGCATAAAATTAATTTTGTAAGTGTTTTGAAAAAATAATCATTTTGTTTGAAATGGATCATTTCAGACCTATATATTAATATATACTGTATTTTTTTTTCTCATTCACGTCAAAAAATATTCAAAAAGTTGTTCGAAATGGTCATTAAGAAGTTTCTTAAATCAACATTTGTCCAATCGAATGTCGCATTTTAAGTTATTTTATCGTATTAATTATTATTTGCTATATTTCTTTAAAAAATTAGTTTTGAATAAAAAACGAAATGTTTTCTTAAAACTCCAAAATTATATATCACAATTTGGACTTGTTCTAGGTGAAGATTAGAGAAGAAGGAAGATGAAATTTTGAAACTATATGTTTTGATATTCCGAATTTTTTTCTATCCGGAATGCATATTTTTTTTCTTTACAGAAATCACTTTAATGGAGGAACCACTAAAACCGGGTCAGTTACCCAACAATTGTCGAGTACAAAATGGATTAAAAAAAATCAGGTTATTATTTACTTTAAATTTATCTTCAGATGTGCTTGGTTTTGTTAATATCCATTTTATATAAAAATAGTGTATTTACATCATCAGTTTTCCATTATAACCACCTTTATTTCCCAAATGTAAAGTTGACGTGGAAATGAGAATTGACAACAAACAGACAACCTATAAGTATCAAGTAACTTATATAATATATTAAGTTGAAGATGGTCAGATAAAAATAGGGTTTGGATTTGGTGTGGTTAATATAAAACAAAGCTTTTTTATAGATGGAGAAAACAATACATTATACAAAAATAAAGGGTAGACAAAAATTTGATGTTTGAAATACCAAAATGTACGTAATATACAAGTAAACAACAAACAAGAGGATCCCCATAGTACAAGTTTTAAAGTCTGGATACAAATAGTTATCTGTTGTCGTATGATGAATGATTGAGCAATGATAGAAATTTCACCTTATTTTTTGCAGTTTTAAGGAAGAAAGTAAGAAAATGTTAAAGATTAAAATTATGGATAAGATGTAGGATTTGGGTTGGAGATGAGTTGTTGGTAATATAGGAAATTATATTATTATTGTATACAAATCACAAAATGGAACATCTGTTTACCCCCAAAGACTTGAATAGATTCATACCACTTGTGAATAATCGCGAAAATGATCCCATGCGAGCAGGACCAGGAACTTCTTCCGGTGCATCCCCATCCCCATCAATGTCCTCCACTTCCTGCCCAGAAATCAAAGGCTCCTGTGCATCATCATCATTTTTATTTTCAATTACCCCAACCTCTGATATCTCTCCAGGCTTCTTGTCAAATAGTCCTTTAAATTGCTTGCGTGCCTTCTTTTCTACTTCCTGTTTGTTGTTCATAATTCATATCATTAAAATAAAAAATACTTTAGAATTTATTTACATTTAAAATAGAAAAACAAACGACCTGTTCGGTTTGCTTCAGTTTAAGAAGAGCTGCCTTTGCATTGGCTTCGGATGACTTGTCTATGCTCATCATCTGGTTTCAAGCCATCAAATAACAATTTTGTTGTTATTCAATTTTACATTTACATTAATGAAACTGAAATTAACAAAAACTCACTCTCTTGAAATCTCTTCTTGCTTCCTCAAAATCGCCAGTCTCCATGTATGCCATTCCTCGACGATAAAGCGCCTTCACATGGACAGGATTTGCATCCAAAACCTGCACATACATTATTTATTAATATTAATATATTATCACCAATCAAACAATCTTTTTTTACTTATTAAAAAAAAAAAAAAAAAAAAAAAAAGTAATTACTTTATTACACGTCTCGATTGACTTTCTACAATCCCCCATCTTCAGGTAGCAGGCAGCCACGTTCAGATTCAACAGATTCTTTTTATGCATGTTATCTTATTAGCAACCACTCTTGTTAAATAAAATAAAAAAATTAAATTATTAATGATGGAGGCTCATTCATACTCTTGTATTTGCAAACTCTTTTCCCTCCTCATCATCTTGAGGATTTACATGATTGAATTCACGTAGAACCTGCAACAAAAACCACAAATTAAATCATAATAAATTCAAACTCACTGATTTCAAATTCTTTGATAATGATGTTGTGTACCTTATCATACTTGGCTTTGGCAAGGGCGAATTTCCCTTCTTTGAATAGTCTGTTACCCTGAATAAGAAGCATCAAACTGGATCAAAAAAAAAAAAAAAAATTAAAATGCTCAACACCTGTTAATTTAATAGTAAAAATACATACCGTGCTTTTCGTGTTCTCAACATCATTCATAATAGCTCTAAAATCCATACCAGTCCAATCCTACATAGTATACAGAATACTCCATTAAAATGACTCATCCACAATTCCATATGCATCAACTCAAATACTAAAAATACAATAAAATGTTTTACCTTTTGCATTTCAAAACCAAGAAGCTCAATCACCCATTCAACATAAGCACCTTCAGGAACATTATCTGGCCTACTCACACAACAAGCAAACAAACATCAACATGACTTCATTTCATAATTTTACATATTTTTATGTATTAAGTTATCAGAAATTTACCTTGTGAACTTGTCATATGCATAATCAGGGGGGCAGGTGACACGTGATACCTCTTCAGGCAACATCAGCCGAACACACATCTCAAAGCCTTCAGGTACCTAATCACAATCACAACCTCATATTACAATTTACAACAAAACTAACTAACTAACACCAATCACATTTTTTATTCAAACTCAAACTAAACTTACAAGCCCTTCCCCTGATGAAAACTCCAAAGGCTCCCCATCATTATCAACTTTTGTATCATAAAAAACTGTCTTTTTTTCATCAAGAAGCATGCCCTTGTAATGAACACGCAATCTACTGTCTTGAAGAGGGCAATCCATGGGAAATTCACCTAATTGTTTCAAAAATCACATCCGGTGTCGTTACTGTTATAAACCAAGGACTAATATGCAATTATGTGTTACTTGAAGGACTGAAACAGCACCTTTTCCATCTCTTATTCGACGTTTGATTAGACGACCATCTCCTAGTACATCACGCACCTGGATAAAATGGATGAGCTCCACTTCAAAGTGAACTTCTTCAATGCCTTCTACAGAGGGCAAAAGTGGGCTTTCACTTAAGTACTGATTTGTTACATAGACCACTGCTTTCTCACCACGTGACATTGTTCCTATACCCATTTCAAGACCTTTAGGTACCTGATATAGGAATGAAAGGAACACTGTAATGAGTATACATGAAAAATGTAGAGCAAATACAGTTTTGAAAAAGCAGGAATCTATGAAAATAGAGAGACCTCGGATTTTCCAAATGTAAACAGAATTGGTTCGCTTTTTATATGTAACGGAAGTGATTGTCCATTCCCCAACTTGGCAGAAATCCTGGAATTAACCACATCCCACAAGTATTAGTATATCAATGTTGAAGTTGTTTCTGAAATAATTAAAGAGATAAGAGATAGAGACAACAAGTGAACCTGGCTTTTACTTCATAAAGATCTCGTGGATTCTCCCAACTTTGTGCCTCATGTAAAACCTGTCCAGTAAATGGCATGTTCAATTTAGAACTTTTCAATTGGAACAATTGCTGATGAAATAAAATTCAACTGTGGAGAAATAACGCAAACAAGAGATTGAGTATTACATACCTTCTTCATTACTCCAAAATCTTCAGTTACAACCTGAGGATGTTATAAAAAGCAAAAAGAAACAAGTTATGATATCAAGTATAAATAACAAGAAGTATTAAACCCAAAGTAATTTGTATATAAAAAACTTAGTGTATAAAATAAAACTTGTAGGTCTTGCCTTGACTTTAGAAAAGTCAATCAACTCGATCTCGAAATTAAGTTCAGCATCCTTTGGAAAGCTATCTGAAACAGAGACTGGACAGTCATCCTCACCATAGTGCAATTCAGGCTTCATTTTTAACTGAAAAAAGTTAGCACAAAAAATGTTAAAGATCAATAACATAACATCATGAATATATACAAAGAATGTGTGCCCTTTTGTCAACAAGTTAATACAATATAAACCATATCCATAAATACTTTACAGCTACCAAATCCTTACCATTGCAACTTCACCCTTCAACATTGTTGGAAGTCCTTCTAACAGCCCTAATATCATCTTGCTCTTACCCAAAACCTGCCTTATTGGAGTGCCTTTGCCTATAACAAGGAAATCAAAGAGAGCATCACACACCCATTTGAGCAGAGAGAATGAAAACACATAAAACAAAATCATTCAAGTAAACAATTAACTAGGGCATTGACAAAGTATAACTTCATTTATATCAACTATCAAGCAGGTTAACAGAACTAATATGTCATCGGATAAATGAGCGCACCACCAAATTCTGAGCGAGTAGACTCAACAACCACCCCATCTAGAGTACGAACAGTAGAATGATATACGACCTGCACAATGAATCTCATCAATAACATGTAGATGTGCTCTTTCAATTGTTACCTAACATAATTCAGTTCACACAGAGGGTGAATTAGGACATAATTAGTTCAATCACGATTATTTCATATTAATCTACGATTGGCACTCAGAGGTGTCGGTTAAGAGTTAAACTATCTATGCCCCCAACTTCAGATAGC